CTGTCCCTGCCAATTCCCCTGTCCCTGCCCCGCTCCCCGCCCTGCGCAGCCTCGGGGCCTGGGGGGGGACACGGTCAGGACACCCCCTGTGAGCAGGGACCCCCCTGGTGCCACCGACCCCACCAGGGACACCCCAGCGGTGTCACCAACCCTCCCTCAGTATCACCAACCCTCCCAGTGCCACCAACCCCCTCAGTGCCACCAACCCTCCCAGTGCCACCAACCCTCCCAGTGTCACCAACCCTCCCTCAGTGTCACCAACCCTCCCAGCGTCACCGACCCCACTGGGGACACCCCACCAGCGTCACCAACCCCCCCTCAGTGTCACCAACCCTCCCAGTGCCACCAACCCCCCCTCAGTGTCACCAACCCCCCCAGTGTCACCAGCCCCCCCAGGGACACCTCCCCAGTGTCAGTGGGACGGCCCCGCAGCAGCCCGGGGGCAGGGGGTGACCCCAGGGGTGGCTCTGGGGGTGACCCCAATGACCCCAGTGATGACCCCGGGGGTGACCCCAATGACCCCGGGGGTGACCCCAATGACCCCGGGGGTGACCCCAATGATGACCCCAATGACCCCGGGGGTGACCCCAATGACCCCAATGACCCCGGGGGTGACCGGGGGGGTTCTCACCCACGTCCTGTGGGGCGGGCGAGGGCTGGTCCACGTCCATGGGCGACTCCTCGCGCCGGGGGACGGCGTCCGCGGGCCCGGCCTCCGACTGGGGGGGACGGCGGCGGCTTTAGGGGGCCGGGACCCCCCAGGGGATCCCCCAGAGCCCCCCCGGGCCGGGGGGACCCCAAAACTGCGGGGGAGGGGGCTGGGGGCTGTGGGGGGAGGGAGAGGAACGGGAGCAGGATGGGGAGAGGGAGGAGGAGGAGGAGGAGGAGGAGGATGGAAATGGAACAGGATGAAAGAAAAGGATGAGGATGATGAAGAGGAAAGAGCAGGACGTGGAGGGAGGAAGGCTGTGGGGGAGTGGGGGCAGGAGGGGAGGGGGAAGAGGGTGAGGGGATGGGAGAACGAGGATGAGGAGGATGAGGATGAGGAGGATGAGGATGAGAAGGATGAGGAGGATGAGGAGGATGAGGATGAGGAGGATGAGGAGGAAT